GAATGAGTCCAGCTGCTCTTTTCTGTTTTTCTTTAAGATGTAGATCTTTCAAAATCCACGTACAAGGAGTAATGACACGGCTGATTGGTGTCGTGCACACAGGTCTCTTTGACCTATTGGCACTTCCTCACGTAAGAGAGACTCCCTGAACAGAAAGCCATCTCATCAGGAGGTTGGGCCCTAGAGATTTTCTACTTGAAAGGTTTTACTTTAAACAACCTTCCTGGTGGAAAAATATGGGGTAGCAGAACGAAGGGAAGCATATGAATTTTCTGCTTTAATATTTAGAACTTTTATGGGGTTTAGACTAAAGCAGATTCTACCTCTTTTTAAAAAGCATCTTCTTATTTCCTGGGTGCCAAAATAAGTCAGAAGAGGCCACTGCATGCTTAATACTGAAGCCTCTATAACCTTGAAACTACATGAAATACATACCCAGTAACCATGTCCACCATGACTGAAAGTGACTGCAAGCCAAAAGAAAGGCTAAGGGATGGGGCAGAAAACAAGTTAAAGTGGGAATCTAGGCAACCTTGGCTTAGGGTTTTTTGTGTGGAGGGTAGAATTAGCCACCCAAGAACTACCTGCCCTTACGTTTTGCTCAGACTCCCTGTACTTTTAAGGAGAAGAATGATCATACAGATCCCATAGATTATGCAAAAAACCAGCAAGAAATGCTCAGCTACACTAGTCCAAATGGACAGGCTATTGAAATTTAACTGCTGTGTCAGGTCACAGGCACTGTGTTAAGCCACATTCCTTGATCACTGTTGCCTTTTGTTACTGCTTAAAGGAAAGCTGCATGGAGCACAGGTGCACCTTCTCAGTGCCAGCTCTGCCATACTTTCTCTCTGCTTGAGTTTTTTTCAAAGTATTAAGGTAATGAAAACATCACAGTGGTGATTTTTACTGTTCTAGAGACTAGCTTGTGAAAAAAATTCAAGCATTTTATGTAAGAGTGCTGAAAAACTGGAACATTAAGGGGAATAAAGTTTGTACAAAACAGATTTTAGAAGCATGATGCTGAAAATTAACTTTAGGGATTTTCCATTTTAGTGATGGAAATATGGCTTAGGTAACTTGCTTGGACGTGTTTGGACCTTAGTCTGGGAGGTTGCCAGTTAAGAACATAGGTAGCCTGAAAAGAGTGAGTTAATTTTGGAAATTTGGCCCTGGAGAGGGTTGCTCAACTTTAAGAACTTGTTCTGCCTTAAAATACTGCCCTACCCCTCAAAGCTTCCACTGGGAGGTGAAATTTCAGAAATTGTATATCAATGTTGCAGTTATTTAAATGTGTTTCATTTTTGTCAGACCTAAAACTACAAGAATGGTGTTTTCTGTGATCTCAGAATTTTGTAAGTCTATTTTGTCTTTCCCCGGTATCTGAGTTTGCTTTTCCAGACAAGTGCAACAGTCTATAACAAGCACAGTAACTGCAGGATTATTTACTTAGGGCTTTGCCTTTGCTGAAGTCCTTTCACTGGGGCTTATGTGCAGAGTTGCATGTGCTTAGTTCAGTGCAGTGCGGTTTAGCAAAGTACACTTAAATGGTAAACACACTGAAAATTTTATCTTACCCTTCCCACAGAACAAAATAGTACTATTAAAGAACATAGTTAGATCAGAAGACAAGGTAGTTATTAGATCAGAAATCCCTACCTTGTATTATTTTGAGAAGAATTCTTCTGGTTTGCATGTGTTTTCCCCCCTCTTTCTGAATCCCATCTGCCTCACCTCATATAGCAGCAGTTATTTTTCCATATTGCTAACAATTATTTTCCTTTCTGTCTCTGGTGTTCTCAAAACACATAGCCAGTAATGCTTCTTAAAAAAAACTGCTCTCTTTATAAGCAAATCTTCTGTGAACTCCTTTTTAACTGCAGATGGAAGTTCTCGCTGTGTTGCTGAAGAATGCCATGAACAACATGGAGTTTCCAGTGCATGTTTAGGTAGCTACAAGGAAATTGTTTGAGATTCCAGCTATCTTGGATGAGAAGACTACAAGCAGGAATGAAACCCATGTGATCTTGGACAGCAGGAGCTGGGACCTTAGGGTTTGGTGCCTTCAAAGGCTGTGTGACTGGAAGTCCTACTTGCCTCCCAAGAAGGCTTCCCCATTTTCCAAGACAAAACTGAAACTGTTAAGTACTGGAAGAAGAAGAAAAAGAAACAGAACAGAGGAAGAGAAACCCCTCAGCACCAATGAAAGTGGGAGGCTAGATAGAAAGTCTGGAGGAGATGAACACAGGACTCAGGCAAGGAGACAAGACATGGGCTCTTGCAACTGCTTTCTTTTTGCTAGGCTCCAAAAGACAAGGCAGTTCCTGGAGAATTGAGTCATTCTTTGAGGACAGAGAGAGTCAAGCCCACTCCCTTCCAGCATGAATGCTTTCTATGGAGCTGCCAGGATCCTTTGTGGTAGGTCCTGCCTAGAAGACAATGGGATCAGAATGTTCCACAATCTCCTGAATCCCTAATGTGCTGATATCACCCTTTCAGAGAGGGTGATGAGAAACATTTCCTCAGGTTTGGTTTTTTTTTTTTTTTCAGGGTTTTTTCCTCATTTTCCTCAGGATTTTTCAGAAGAATCTCTTCTTGTGGCCTGCAGACCAAACAGCTCTTGCTTAAGAAACAAAATGCTTCCTGGGATCAGATAATACAGATCTCAATTTGCTTCCAAGAGGGTTGTGGAAGGAAGCAAAAGTGCTGCTCACTGTCACTACTACTTTTTGTAGGGATACACAGTTAAAAGTTTCTTTTCTTCCTTTCTCTCCCAAGTACTATCAGTGGATTTCTCCACTGGAGAAAGTTTAATCTGTTCAACTCTGTCATCCAGTTCCACTGGAAATGCAGGTGCAAACTGAACCTCTAAGTTCTAAGGCGAATAAGAGTGCAGAAAGGAGTGGAGGTTTGGCATGTGCAGTGTGACCTGGAACTGGCAGGAACTTGTAAGTAAGAGTTCTCTGACAGTATGTGCTTGTGAACCTGCTTATGGGCAGCACTGATCCAGCAACAAAACTGAGGGGGCTGCCATAACTCAGAGCACTGTGACAAATAACACCTTGTATGTAAATTCCTGTCAGAATAATTGTCTTTCCAGTGCTTACTAAGTGCTTAATAAATGTCTGTAGGGAGTGAGAAGTTTTGTTATTCTCAGAAATAAAACCCTCTACATGATGAAATAAAAACTCCCTTTCGAGGCAGTTGCTTTTTTGGTATGAAGGGACTTTACATTCTCAGCCATAGACTGCCCTGCAGTGGTGAAGCCAAAATCTGCAGCCTTACTGACTTTTATTCAGGATCTTTAGAATTCCTCATTAAGAAGTAGTTTGCCCATCACTAGACGGGACAGAAAGAGCCTGTGAAAACTACAGACCAAATGAAAAATAAATGAAACAAGGAAGATTTCATATTTCAATGTAAATACAGTGTGGAGCAAAATTCACTACTGACTAGTAACATTTTATCTTTTTTTCATAAGAAACAAGGCAGATTTGATCACATCTTGTATCTGTGTCCAGAAGTTATTTGCTGACTTCAGTCAAATTTAACTGCAAAAATAAAAATCTCAAAGACAGCTAAATGTCAACAGATTTTGAGAAAAGCAGTTTCTGCAAAAAGCTCAAGGAAATATATGGTTCTAGTGTCAGCATAGAAATTTTTGGATAACAAAAAGTTCACAGAGGAGAGTGACTTTGTATGTGCCCTGGGAGAAAACTCTCAGTCACATCTTACAATGAATGTAGAGATAGAAATCATTAGAAACCTGTACTAAAGCAGAAATTTGGCTTCATTTAATCTGCAGCTTGCTCTGTAAACTGACAAAACTTCCTTCTTGTTAGATCAGCTACCTCTCCAACTCCAGAGAAATCTTCTTTCCAATCAGAGTTTTGTAATGCTGAAAAAAATACAGGGTTTCATTTTCTGCACATTCTTATCAGTCTTATAAAAAGGCAGAATTCTTATCTGCCTTTTAAGCTGGAGTACATTTGATAGTAGCAAAAAATGGTGCCATCAACCCTTTAGGTAGCAAAGATGCCAGTATTGAGGTTGGCTATTGCCAATAAAGTTATCATTAATGGAGATAAAATAAACGAAAAGCTTTTTTTTTTTCCTTCACTATAACAGGTGTGGTTTACCCTCATTGTACTCTAAGATGATTCAAGAGAAATTAACATCTTCCAGTTACCTGTTTCACCTCCCCTTACAATAAGATAAACAGGCACTCCTTTAGATTTGTCCTTTGTTGAGAGACAAATAAATGTCAAAAATGGCTATTGCTTTCCATTTTCTGCAGAGGAAGCCTAGGATTACTTAGCTTAATGATGGGCATCTGTTTTGCAAATGTTGGAATTTAGAGAGCTCTTACTATGGTAGTAACTGTACATCCTGAAAGCACTGTGAGTAATCTTCATATAGCTGAAGGACTACTTTTTTAGTGAAAATACATAATTGCAGTTCTAACATACAGAGCCCTGCTAAAGGAAGTTCTGGTGATGAACTAAAGTTTCTCTAAGTTATCTGAGTAATTTCATGACCATCATTCCTCTTTGCCTTTGTTTTGGCAGACAGCATAATCTTCTCTCCCACCTTATAGACTGGATCTTCTGAACAGCCCAATCTGATCAGCTTTTAAGGAGACATGAGTAGATACCCCAAAAATTTTGGAAACCACTTGACTTCCTATAACTTGAAAAACAACTTTTCTTCTCTCTTCAAACTAAAATTCATCAAGACTGTATAAAAATGAGTACAAAAGCCATGCTTTTTGAGATGTGCTTTTAATCATTCAGAGGATTTGGAAAGGACTGAAGAGGTTATGCACTTGTAAGAATACAAATTTGTGTTCTTATTTTGTGCACAAATAAATAGGGCACAGTTAATTAATTAGAGAACAAACAGGATGCAGTTACTGGGAAAAGTAAAGTTCAAAAGTAGTCAAGGAAGCTAAGAATGTTCACAGTCCTTTCAGTCAATAATGCCAGAGGGGTTTTTTGCCTTCATTTTGATGTTAAGCTGATGGCTCTCTTGATCCTGTTCAGGGCAGTGGTCTTCTCATTTACTTCATTGTTCTGCAGCTCATTGGACTCTGGCCTCTGGCATTCAGTGTCTTGACAGCTGCAGCTCTCCACGTAGATGTACTTGTGTGACACTGCGTGCCCACCAGGGCATTTCAGAACCACGTACTTCTCAGTGGTGCTTGTTTCTCTGCAGCAGGAGCAGCTGTGGTCCATGGAATTGGCCTCAGCAGAGTATCTGTCAACATGTAAAATGGCAATGTTACTCAGTGCCAGAAGCCAATGTACAGGAGAGGGTGGAATCAGGTACAGAACTCCTGTGAGAAGAGCCACAGCTGTGGCTAATGGAAGTGCTAAGCTCATCTGACAGAGCAGTGATTGTAAAATGCCTAACCCAACCAGGGCAATGTTAACACAAAGGGGAAGCAGCAGCTCTTTCTGTTCCCATCTCACTGCAAAGTATGTTTTGCAATCTTGTATCCATCAGCTTCCTAAGCACCATTCCTAACCTGAAGAATCTGTCAATATCAGGCTATAAGCTGTGACAAAATCGATCTTTTTCTTGCATTTAGAAGAAAACACAACAAGACCCTAAGATGATCAGGAATTTCAAAATACTAATAAACTCCCTGGCTTCTCAGAGTTCCATGTGATACTGAAGATTAGTTTTCATCCATGTAAGGTACACTGTGGCAAGCTCAGTGATAGGCAGTAAGTGACAGTTTCTTTGGAGAGCTAGAGCTGGTTTTGCAGTGTTTTAGTAGCTCATTACCAGATGTCCTACTAACCACTTCCTTATAATCAATTTTTAATATATCCTCTCATTTCAGAGAAAAATGTACTCAAGTTACTCTACTAACACCACAACTCAAACAATCTCTCATTTCTTCACTGCATAAAAATTGTGCATATTTGAATCTTCCTTTGAAAGATGTATGTGTATTTCATTTTAGCTGTTAACTATTGAGTAGCAGCTTTTCCACTTCCATTTGCAAGTCTGGCTGCTCTCTGGGCTCATTCTCATTATAGGAAATAATCCATGTTCTTTTGTGACAATTTCTAGCCTAGGTGGTCTGACACAAAGCCAGCTCTTAATGGATGAATAGCCCTTATCATACCTGTCTGAATCCCAAGCCAATTTAATACACTTTTCTGCTTTGTATTACAACAAATCAGCTCGTCAGTCACAGATTCCATGATTTTATGTCCATGATTCATGAGGCAGATAGTTCCAGGTCTTCTACCATTGTGTAGTCTACTATTTATTGTTCCTTTTATATAAACAAGCTCAGTGCCACCATGACTTAAATCTCATTGTCTGGTGAGTTTACTTACAGCGAGAAGGTTCCACATGTTCCTTCACATTCAGTCATGTCAACTCTGTCCACGGAGCGGCAGCCATTGTAGACAATAAAGTCCTTTCTGTGGCGCACAGAGCACGGTGTGCTGCTGTCCAGAGGGGCACCTGCAGGGAAAGAGCAGAAAATACTTTCAGTGAAATAACTCCAGAAGTCCCTCGCACCTCAGCATTCCCTGGGCTTCACTAGTGCACTCAAAGAATTGCCTTAAGTGCTCTTTCTGCCTTTTAAGTTCAAACTTCTCCAGAGAGATCAGACAGTGAAGTCTTGGAATGACAAATATAAACGTAGAAGTATCTATTTAAATACAAATTTATCTGGAAAATGGGCTGATTTAAGAAGACAATTCATTCTCTGTATTGTTGATTCAGACACACTGGCGTACTTACATGTTCTGCAACAACCATTAGGTAAGAATGAAATAGTTCCCTAAAATAAAAAAGAAACAAAAAAAATTACATTATCCTATTTTTCTATATTAAAAAGGCATTAAGACCAAAACCTGAGGAGAGCAATACATCAGTGGCTGTAAATAACCAGTGAAAACTGGTTATTGTACTGTAACATTGATCTAAATAACCAAAGATAACAGCCTCTTCCCGACTTCACAAAGGACTGTGAAAATACAAACAATTCTTTGAAGGAAGTCTACAGTTAACATCATGAAATTTTTGCTCAGAAGCAATTCCAACAAATGGTTTCTCAGAGTCCTCTGTATTTGAATGGGAACTATGCACAGTGTTACTGCCAATCTACTTACTGACTGAACAGCTTGTGTTTTAGCATTCAAGGAAACCTGGATTTTGTTGAGACGGAACCCCAAACAAAGCAGTCAGCTAAGATTCAGTATCTTGGTGCTGACCAGTATTTTGGCCACTGAGAGACAGCTACCAATTATAAACCTTGAATTCTCACCCAGGCATCTTATTTTGTATACTCTCTAGGGCTGTGCATGGGTGCATCTAGAACTTCTGCCCTAAGGACTGAGAAATTATGATGAAAGGCCATCGGAGCTAAATTTTACTTTTGTTGTTAGTTAGATGGCTGAAATAAAATTAAGTAATCTATGTATGGAGTAGAGGGTAAATTTTCCATTTTTACTTACAGGTTTGCAGCTGTCTTCATTGAATGCTGGACAGGTAATCTCAGATGTGGAAGCAATAAGCTGGTCATGGACATCTACACAGCTATAAATGGTGCAGTTGTTGTGAGGATCATTTTTAAAGTCTCCAGGCTGCAAGAGAAATGCAAAATGTAATAAGGATAGCTGAAGGGAGCTGAGACAGAAATTTTACTGCCCTCTGATAATAACTTTCATCTTGTTTCCCAGTCAATTATTTTTAGGTTAACAGCCATTTGGGATACAGATCATGACATGTATTGCAATACGCCCTACATTGAGAGAATTTCAGTTTTATATGGTATTTTCCTTGAGAAAGAAATAAAAATGTCTCTAAAGTACATGGAGTACTTTACCAAAATCATCCATGCCAATGGATTTTGCCTTCAAAAAACTAGACTATTTTATATTAATTAAGAAAGACCCTAAACCTTCCTCCTACTACAGCAATAGAATTGTTGCATATGCAGGCTTTAATGGTGTTTTTCAGCATACTGAAATCAAATAACACAGAAAAGCTGAAGCTTCCAGACACTGGAAGAAAACCCCTTCCAATGGTATTGGATTTCTCATTCCAGGAAGGGCCTTACAGATAATTTTATTTGATGAAACCTACCTTCAGGTGAAAAAATTGTAGCTAGGTTTTGAGATTTTGATCTTTCAGGTGCAAGCTTATACTAAAGCCTTGTCTCTGGCAATGGGGAGTTCCCTTTTTGGAACTGGGAACTTTACAGATTTGGTGGAGAACTAAGACATAGAGCATACTTACACTCAAGATGAGTTCAGAATTGTCTGATGTCTTTATAATACACTTGGTCTGCACACATTTTCCACAGCATTCGCCTTTCACTGGTTTAAGTTCATATCCCTAGAAATTAAAAGTAATTAAAAACAATAGCACTATAATTTTTGAAAAATAAATGAAAACATATGAATTCATAAATTGATTACGCTTTGAAGTGCACTCAAGATTTGTGCCTTTTTGTGTTCCAAATCAACAGGAGACAAGTGATAGCAGCAGGTTATAAATGGAATAAATTAAAGCACTAGAATAAATATGCATAGTAATTAAATATTACTCCACAATGTGGTCTACAGAAATTTCCCAGCTAATTCTGCCAGTGTGAGCTGAATGCTGACAGTTACACAGTTAATCTCAGGCAGTAGATTGCTCAAAGAACAGTTGATAAGCATGCTGGAGTTGGTCTCTAGGTTTCAGCTCCCTGTCCTTTGCTTAATACCACTCGCTGGTCAAACTGGAGTTCAAAGATACTTTGGAGTCTTGTTTTTCTTTAAGTTTGCCACTTACTGGTTGACAGTATGTGTTGCAGGGGACACGTTCACAGGAGATTATATTCAGTTGAGTGCTGACGTTAACATCATTTGTGCAGACACAATTCTGGCACTTGTCAACAAAGACTGAGGAGTTGGGCTACACATTTAAAGGAAAAAAATCACATATTAATGAGTTATTACATGTTTAAAGAGATATTTATTAATTTTTTTAAAATCTGCAAATGAAGCAATGGAAAAGGAAAAGAATCAGATAAAGACAACTGGATAGCTATTTGGCTAGTCATTTAAGAAGACAACATTTAAAATACTGAATATAATTGAATGTGTCTTTATTGAAGTCCTGTATATCAATGACAAACTCTGATATTAAAAGAAAAGGTACAGTTACTAGACCCAAGAGAATTAGAAATCTAAATTTGGTTAGAATAATACTTATTTATATGGTTTTTAGTTTTTGAAAACAGAGTCTTAAAACTGCAATAGTGTGCTGACAGTAAATGTGGACTGACTTTTTTAAATGCTAGCACACTTAACCCAAATTCCTCTATGATGCTGACGTACATGCAGCTCTTCAATTTCTTTCCTTTTGAAAAGTTTCCAGGAAACTTTTCAAAAAAGGTTTAGCTTTGTGAAATTGATAAACTCCTGGCATAAATTTGAAAATGTATAAAATATCTATTGTACTGGATAAACCTTTTCATAGCACTTCTGATCAAATATACTAACGGTCTTTTAAGCATTTTTGAAGACTGTTTGAAACAGAACTTACCAAGAACTCAGCATTCTCATGTACGCAAACCCCCTTGGGAACTGTTAATAAGCAAGGAGTTAGAAGTTTAGATAGGAAAAATGAATAAAAAATGTCTTCAACTCACTCTAATCCAACTAATTTCTTCCACAATGAATCACAATTCATATGGTTATTCCCCAGTTCTGGTAGCAGATGCAACATGTATAAACTATAAAAACTAATACTGCATGTGAAAGAAGGGAAAAAGATTTGTCCCAAAATATGCAGTACAGTTTGTAGCCAAGAATGTCCACTTAAAAGATACAAAGTGCTTCCTTGTTTCAGTTAGCAAGAACTGCAAATATGTCTTTTACTGGGGATGCTTCTAGGGACTTTGCTAGATTAAGCTGAGACCATCATCCCAGTTAATTCTGTAGCTGTTCTTCCATTTATTTATAAGCAGGAAATTGAACTTGAGTCACCTGAGCTGTATCTGTTTTCCTAGTTTCATAACTATAGCACTAATAACCAATTTTAATAGTAGTGAATTTGTAGAATCTGACTGTGTTTAACAACTCTTTCAAAAGGCTATTGCACAGTCTTATTAAGTGTAATGCTAAATTATGTAATAAACAGAACTATAAGGCTGATCTTTGTAATATATTTCCAAGGGACTTACCACATTGGTATACAGGACAGCACTGACCACTGGGAATATAAGAATGAACTTCAAATCCCAGTGAGCACTTGGGGGCTTTAGCTGTGCACAAGCTTGTATTGCATTCTGAGGAAAAGAAAAATAAAAATCATAAGCTAGAAAACACATTAATTCACAGCTACTAGAAATAAGCACCTATCAAAGCACTCACGATGAATTTTCTATTGCTAGGAAACAGTCCAGATCATCTTCAAAAAAATCCAAATTGCAAATAGAGAACACATTTTTCCTCATAAATCCAGGCACTGGATATGGGGTACTGTATTAGTTTATGAATTTTTTTCTACTGTGCAATTATGCTGTGTTAATAAAGTATCACCATTCTATGCAAAGAAGTAGGGAACAACTCCTACTCTCTCCATGATCTTAGGCAACTGCTGGAAAATGAAAATCCACAGAGAATTTCATAATCTCTCTGCATTTTGCTTAAATAAAATGTGGCCCTGAACACAATAACTATAGCTTTAGTTATGTTGAGTCCCATAACTGTAAATTCAGTTATACTGATTCATTGCAATATTAAAATGTATTTTCCCTAGCACTGGGCAAGTTGATTTTTAAAAGCATGTGAAAAGATACTATTTTGTGACTCCCTGCAGTAGATCTCTGGTACTAAGGTAGTTCAGTCTCTTTTCCTTTCTATTTCCAAGAGGTAGAGAAAGACTAGAAACTCACTGCAAGTGAAAAGAGGGCAGCAGGAGTCTTTAGGATTGACTTCAGTGACTTCATAGAAGCCTTCTCCTTCACAAGTGACCTTCTTTTGATGGCATACATGAGGCTCACATACAATGCCATGTTCACCTTCCAGGCAAATACAGTCCTTACAGTCCACTGTAAACTTTTCTCCAAACTGCCATTGAAAAACAATAAAATGAGTGATTGCATAGTAACCAATTAAAAGGAACAAAAGTAAAACCAGGAATACAAAGTAAAGAGATGACAAAACAAGATTGTACCAGTGAAAACCACTCTCCTCTCCTCCCCACCCAAACTTCTACTTGAAATCCAAAAGCATACAGCATCATACCTCTCTTGATACCATATCCACTCCAACACAGCCTGGAAAATACCAAAATAAATTTCCATTACCAGTCATATAAGAGGAGGCATCTCTACTATACATTGTATGAGCACTGCACACAGTCAAATCTTTGTTGTATACATGGAGGGAAACAAAGAAGGAACTATCATGCATCCAAGTGAAGCAGTAAAACTCACCACAGGTTTTCACGCAGACATCCACACCAGAGTCATACAGCATGGTTCCATTAGGGCAGAAACAGCCTTCCACTTGTTTAGTTGATGTCTCATTCTGTCCTCTATAAGACAAAATGTTCAGAGAAAGGCCATTAATGTCATAGGCACATACAGGAGGATTATGCAAAATAACCTTTCACTGAAAATACAGTGGCAAATGATCTGCCCATTTGTGACTGGGGTTTGCAGTGTCAGTTTGATATAGCCAAACAACAGAAACAGAAACAGTTCAGGCACTCAGATTTAGGGTCAACAGAATAGTGCTAATAAATTTGACTGTCAGTTTAAGAAATGAGAGGAGGTTGATTTTGCTCATTCACCTGTGCATTAGATACAATTGAATAGTTGTACAAGCTATAACTAACTGTGAAGGAATTTTTTACCTTGATTTGCAGGTCGTCTCTTTAATAGGACCACATGCTCTATATTCTTTACCTGGAGGACATTCATGAGCTGGAATGGAAGAACAAAAAGGAGGAACAGCTCAGTAACAATATTGTATAAAAGCCCCATGACCTTATGCCAACAACTTAAGCACTGTTTACTCATTTTCCTACTTATCTATAACAATCTTGAAAAGTAAAGAGGAAATATCCCAGATAGACTTATGTCTCTAAATGGAATAATTTTGTGCAATTTAGCCATAGATATAATACTGTACTTTAAGGTGATAAAGCCAGGGGTCTCCATCTTGACTATAATTTTTTGCATAGTTTTAGTCTCTTTTGCACAACTTCTCAAAAGGGAGTGTCATCCTTCCCTTTGTGCTCTTACTACAGATCAAAACTAATGTACATGTCACCAAATAGAGAGTAATCTGCTGCCTGCAAAGCATAGAGCTGCCGGCGTACAAAAAAAGTATGTACTGATACAGATGTTTCTGGCACAGTCAATGCATGTATATTTTTGCAGGCCAATTTATCATTCCCTTTGTTAAAAATGTTACTGCAAAATTACTTAAGGTGAGCAGGTGCTGTGATTTATTGGTGTTTTCATTACTCTGAAAGCAGTATGACATTATGTGGAACTGTTTCAGCAGTAATCTTCCTCAATAATTCAAGATGAATTTTTATGTCCAGATACTTACAGCATACACCATTGGTGTGTTTTCTCCAGTCAATGCACGCCCCTTGATCAGCACAGGTGGCAGCATAGATCTGCAGACTTGAGCATTCCAGGTCTAGGTTGGGAAGTACACAGCTATCAAAAACGCAGGCTGCATAGTACTTCTCAGGCTGGACAAACGCATGGCATGGCTTGAACACACTACAAACAGAAATATTTATCGTTATTCATATCTATTTTAATGTGCTTAACATTTCAATGTGCTTAACATGCTATCATGTGGCAACAGTGGACGCAGGAGATTAGGGAGATGTGGATGTGGACTATTGATGAGAGATTTGTGCTAAGAGCACTTATCCAGATAGTAACCTTCCAACATACCTTAAAATATTTTTCCCTCCCTTATAAAACACTTTGACACCAACATTTTGAGTCCAGGAATTGTATATTATTGGGTGCAACAATGTGCTATCTCTTTAAAGCAATTTTAATTATTTTTCTGATTAATTTCTGACATGGTGTTCTAAAAATTAAGATTTCTATTTTCAGTTGGACTCTGTTTTCTGCTAAGTAAACATAGGAAAAGGTAAGAACATGGGACAGGGTAGGGCAGAGAGTGTAAAAGAATATGGGAACATCAACAAAGGTTAATATGGCAGCCAGAGGGTTGAAAGAAACTGTCAGCAAAAAATAATAGCCAGAAAAAGTGAAATGAGTAGAAGCAAATCATAAAGATACAAGAAATGGAGAAACAGCTAGAGACACTTTCCACTGGTAAGCTAATCCTAAAATTTCCATTTAAATCAAAGACCAAAGGCTTGTAAAACTGAAAGGATTGTTACCTTCCCAAAATAAGCTCGCAGATGGACGATTCTTTGCAAGGCTGTGTTGGTGTTGTGCTAGGTGAACCTGTAGGAACTAGGCCTGGAGAGCACTGTGGTTTGGAAGGATCAACAACTTGCCAATGATCTGCCATGGTTTCACAGTTTTCTACAATGTTTCCATTTGGCAGCATGCAGTCATCTGCCGTGTTGTTATTGCAAGTACCTAAGGGTGGTATGTGGAGAAAGAATTCACTCACAGATTTGCTAGGAAACACCATTCATCTTTGCATCAGGGCTGTCACTGTGGTTTTCTGAGAGTGCAAAATTTGGAAGAGTGAGCCTTACCACACTGTCCCTGGGTATTGTTGCCAAACAGGCTGTAGGGCATTCTGATAGAAAAGGACAAGCCATTGTAGGTCACATTCATTTTCAGCTCAGGAATTTCCACAACACTATTTATGCCTGACTCATAGATGCTCACACCAAACTTCTTGTAAGGCAAAGCCACGAGCTGGTTGTTTACAGTCACCTAATAAATAAAGGAAAACAGAAAAGAGGCATAAATTTGGTTTGACTTTTCAAAACAATTGACTGTTCCTTTGTTTTGCAGAGAGAATGTAAAGGTAAATAATATCCTTTTAATTTGTAACAAATGTTCCTGTGTTTCCTTTGTTACTGGAAAGTCAAACTTTTCTTCTCTGAGCCACAAAAAGTCCATTAACCTCTGACAAATGAGGTTATTCAATGTTTAAACCAGATAAATCCTAACACTCAACAGACTTATTAGAGTGACTATGGCATCAAGAACTCCTCATGAAAGTGGAATATAAAATTCTCCTAAATTCATATGGTATAAAGTTTTAGGTTTCTGGGCATAAAGGGAATGTGCTTATAGGAAAATTAAATAACAGAAATAAGACTAAACTGTATTATTTATTTTAATACAGTAGCCATGATATACCTGTGAAACTAATACTACTATTTTACTCAGCAGAGATTTTTTTGCTTTAGAGAAAAAAGATGTCTAAATGTTGTAAATTTTCAACAATATGTTGCAACCTAACTTGTAATATTCTCACACAGTAATGTACAGAAATAAACCAAATAAACATTAAAAAGCTAAGAGCCCCAAACACTTCTCACTAATTTTGAAGCCCAAAAACCTTGGCATCACATTTATCAGTGGAATAAAAATATGTGTCCTACTCTGAAAAACTAAAAAGGTGACACAAGTCAAAGTTACTAATGGTACTTTTAAAAAATGCTTCAGGCCAGCACTTTATTGTTATGTCTACCTTACATTATTTCCTCCCATTCCACGTTGTTTTCCTTTGTTACATTATTGTTAATTATAAATTAACTTATTTTATATCCTTAACTCTTAGCGATACACACTTGTGTATTTAGGAGAGATCTGCAAAGATTTGAAATTAAAAAGACAGGAAGTTGTAGAATTTTTTCTCCCCAGATTCAGAATAAAAAAATGCTTTGAAGTCCTCTGAAGCAGTCTAATTTTATAATCTAAACTGTTACTGTTACTGTTACTAACTGTTACTGAATCTAAAACACACATTATTTTTTTCCCAAACCTTATGAATATAATGATCCTGTTGATGCAGTATTAATATTTGAATCGAGAAATCAATAGTACCTCTACTTGTAGAGTATTTGGTTGTGCTGTTGTTAGCCTCACTTCCTGAGTCTCATGTCTCACAATGAGCGTTCGAGGACAGGACACTACATCCCGTGCATCACAATGGTAGTTATCAATGTAGACACCAAAGTTGTCAACTTTCTTATTGATCTCTTCCACAAGGACATATGTACAATTCCCTTGATAGCTGTAGTACAGTCCATCAAAAGTCATGTAGTGTGGATCTCCCCAGCCAGTGCAGTAGCCTAAAAAAAACATAGTTAAGTCAGGCTCTTTTGGCAATGTACAAAATCGTATCAGACTACAAGCAAAATCTGTAGATGTGGGAAACATCTCAGTGAACTTTGGGCATTTTAATTTTAATGAAGTGTATATGTCAATGCATGAGCTCATTAGCTAGAAGTCATCAATAAAAACCAGGCACTTTCAATGCACAGTTCATCTGACATTAATGACAGACAACTGAGAATGGGATTAACTGTACCATACATATATCTTTACCAATAGTCTGAACAAGTAACAAATATATGTATGCTTCTAGCCTATAAATATCTGGATCTGGACATTTAAATCCTTCTTTGGAAGACCAATTTACTAACACAACAGTTAGGTAGAGATAATGGCAACTTAAGCCAATCACTCAATTAGCTAAAAAGAATCAACAGAACATTCTAACCAACACTAGAAGACTGAGTCACAACTTGGCACGATACTTGTTCCCTGATAAATATTGTTGCTCTTGACAATAGTATTGTTTCCTCAGGAGATTAAATATTCAACAAAATATATACTTACAATCACACTCCCAATGCCAACAGCATCCATCCTCATCCATGACTGGCACAGGAGACAGTCCATTGGAACACGTGGGTTTCGGGGGTGGATTGCAGATTATTGGAATCACCTGGACAATGTTGTCTTCTATACATATAACCTTAGTGCAGTTACAGAGCATCCACGAGTCACCTTGCTGTGTTTGAAGAGAGGGGGAGCGGGAGAGAGAGATAAACCTTTAGGAAGCAGTGAGACTGACAATAGTTATGCCTGAATATCTTCTGCAGGTTTCTAAAAAAACATATGTTTATTGACAAGTTTTCCCCCATCAAAAATCTGAAAATAGGATTGAAGTGCATCAGTCAGCACTATCTAGGTCTGCAATATGAGCTAGAACAACTGAGAGCTGCTAAATGGAAAGCATTATGCACAAAAATCAAGCCAGTAAACCAAAATGAGAATCACTTTTTCTAGTTTCAGCTGTCTAAAAGTGAGATGTCTCACCTAATCTCCTAAGGAGTCTTCACCCTACACCCTCTCTAAAGAACAGTGAAAGACACTGATCAATATGAATGGCCAATATATGATCAATTCCCTTCCATGAATGCCTAGAGCAGATTAACAGCTAAAACTCCAATGAACACACACTGTTCAGGGAAAAATGTCCAAGGTAATTATGTCCATGCATTGTGATTGAGTTTTCTTCTATCTTCTACCAGTTTTGCAGACATGTATAATTTCCTGCAGATCTAGTGAGCAAGTTGGTAGGCATCTAAACTATGATGAGGCTTTAGATATGTACAAGACACAAACTTGTCTGTGTCAAAGGTGGAGGGTTCAAAAAAAAAACCCAAAACAAAACAAAAAAAACCCTCAGTCAAATTTCACAATCACTGAATGCAGTGATCTGTTTCACAGTCCTCCCCTGAAGCCAGTCTGTGAACAAGTATGACTCATTCCAAATTCAGCCCTGTGGATTTTTTTTGGGCTGCAATGTAAACACAAAAACAACTTTTACCCACTCTGGACTTATTCAAAAGCAGAAATAGAGAAGATAGCTTAGGAGCACTAAGCTCTTGGTTTCTTCTTCATCAGAACCATCCTACAACAAAGACAAACACTGAACTGTGATCTAACTCCTTGCAGAAAGCTTTTTAAAAATTATCCTTGAAGAGCTAATTGTAATATGTAAGCTATTAATCCAAATATTGTTGGAAGTCCTGCCGATGCCCAAGAAAATGAAAGAAATAGAACAGACTGACACTTCCTTTCCTATCCAGATTAATGCTTACTCTTTACATTACTAATATTGAAGTTATGTGTCTAGTCTCCATCCAAAACATAATGAAAGTATGAGATCTACTCACCTCATAAGTTTCATTAGGGAAAATAGTACAAGTTTTTTTGGGAGTGGTTGGTGTTAGACCTGTAGTTGACCCATTAACTGGAGGAGTTGCACTGTGTGTAGAACTTCCTGTAGTGGTGACTGCAGTTGATGTTGCAGTAGGCCCAGATGTAGTAGTTGAGACAGGTGGCAGGGTTTTGAAGGTTGTGGAGATGGTGGTTGTAGCATTGATTGTGATAGAACTACTAGAGGTGGTTCCTGAAGTGGTGGTAAAGCTCTCTGTTGGAGTAGTACCAGCGGTAGTGGTTGACACGGGGCTGGTTGATGTAGGTGATGTTGGAGTCGTAACAGTTGCAGAGGTTGTGGTTGGAGTACTTATTTCTGTTCCTGCTGTGGTGGTAGGGGGAGTGGACACTGGGGGTGTGGGGCCTGAAGTGGTGGTCTTGGTGGTTGATCCTGTTCCAGTGAATGGGGTTGTCGATATTGG